CCAGCATATCCGTGATATACATTTACAAAAGCTATAATGAAGTAGTTTATTGGATTTTTTTAGACCATGTCTACTGGGGTTTTCATATTTAAAAATGTTAAAAGACGTCCAAATGGTTATCTTTAGTAGAATGAGTGAAACAAATATAAGTAGAAACCATTTCCCAAACTAAAAATTTGAGTTCCTCCAATTCAACCAACTAATTCTACAATAAAATAGTAGAGGTGTTTTCCATCCAATTAATTCATTATTTCAAAAAAAATTATGCTAACATTTTAGTAGAGGAATGTTTAATTTCACCAAATTTTATTCAACTAAAATGTATGCTAACATTTTAGAAAAATGGTTAATTTCACCAAATTTTGTTCAGCTAAATATACAACCATTTGCATCCAAAGATGGGGGAAAAAAAAAAAGCGAAGAGAGAATGATGGCGCTGTTCGAGTGGTAAATAACACTATCTACAATCATCATTTTGAATTCTTTCTTAACTATTTAGACATTTTAATTAGAAAAATATCCGATTTCATTTCATTAATTACCCTGGTTAACAAAAATTTTGAAAAGAAAAACAAATAGGTTAGTTGGTCTCGACTCTCGAGTCTATATAGTCTATAGACTCTGTACACAACGCGCATACATTGGTTTTTACATTTTACACACAAACAGAATATAAATAAATATACACAACCATCTTTCTCATACACATTTTTTTCCTCCCATCACCACTAACCACGACCACACAAAACAAGAAACATACCATTATAGAGAGAGAGAAGTCCACCAGTGGCAAAACCGTAAATAAAACATGTCAAAAGATTGCGGTAACCACGGAGGCGGCAAAGAAGCAGCCGTCCGGCGACTCTGCGCCGCCGTAATCGCCTTCATCATAATAGTCCTAATCACAATCTTCCTAGTTTGGGTCATACTCAGACCAACCAAACCAAGATTCATCCTCCAAGACGCAACCCTCTTCGCCTTCAACCTCACACAACCAAAC